TCTCACAGACTGAGTGGGTTTAAGGGTCAGGTTTAGACCGGTCTCACAGACTGAGTGGGTTTAAGGGTCAGGGTTAGACCGGTCTCACAGACTGAGTGGGTTTAAGGGTCAGGTTTAGACCGGTCTCACAGACTGAATGGGTTTAAGGGTCAGGTTTAGACCGGTCTCACAGACTGAGTGGGTTTAAGGGTCAGGTTTAGACCGGTCTCACGAACCGAGTGGGTTTAAGGGTCAGGTTTAGACCGGTCTCACAGACTGATGATGTTCTAGTTTCAGATCGATCCTCACAAAGACACTTGCTCATATATTCGGGTCGGTACGGTCTGATATCAAACACTGATTGGATTGGGGGTGTTGGGGGGTCAAACCTGTGGATCGGGACATTTGGGTCGATCTGCTCAGACTCACTGGTCTCTGATCTGTGTCGTCGTTTGTCTCCGTGTCGTTTGGAGCTCAGAGTTCAAACCTTCTTTCTTTCGTTTCTTCAGCTGCTTTTGATGAGAACGTGAAACATGTGGAGAGTCTGAGTGTCTGTGGTTCTGATGGATCACATGGTTCTGACAGAACCAGGAGGTTCATGAGCTCACAGTCCCAGAAGAAGATAAATGAGGGTAACACTTTACAATAACCATCATTAATCAATGGTAAATGGATCATTTATTAATGTAAGTTAATAGTTACTTTACTATAAACATGCAATGAAATGATGAATTTATGAATTATTAATGGACTCTTAATTAAAGGTTAATAAAGGGTTTAAAAATGTTTAGATGAAAATGTGTCAGTAACACTTTGTAAATATTTAATATTTGGTTTATAAACATCTATAATCATGACTGAGATGTTGTTATAAAGTGAGGTTAGTAAAACTGTAGCATTTATAGTTTATTAATGGTCTATATGCTGTTTATAAACGATAATTACACATTAATAATCGATCTGTTTATCATTGATAAGTTGTGGTTTTTGTAAAGTGTTTCCATGAGAGGAAACAGTCTGAACCATCAGAGGGTCTGACAGCTGTTAGAGGAACCACCACACACACATTCCTGTCCAGACCTATACTCTCAGATATGGTGTGTGTGTGTGTGTGTGTGTGTGTGTGTGTGTGTGTGTGTGTGTGTCCTCAGGGAATACTGAGATTCCTGAAATTCCTGCAGCGAGGGTCCCTCAGGTACTCGAGCCAGTCAGTCAGCTGGGCTCATGCATTATGAACGAGTCCCATCTGGACCCAGTTAACACCTGATGTGTGTGTGTGTGTGTGTGTGTGTGTGTGTGTGTGTGTGTGTGTGTGTGTGTGTGTGTGTGAGAAAAGAGGGAAAGTTCCAGCCGAGTTTCTTTGTGTTGAATCTTAAAAAAAAGACGAGCTCCTACCTCTCATTACACCCTCCCTTCCTCTCCCCTCCCCTCGCTCTGCGTCTCCCCCTGACTCCTCCCCCTCCTCCTCCTCTTTTTGGCTGGCTGTAAAAAACTGTAATTGCCTGAAATCCATTAAACATGTGTGTGTGTGTGTGTGTGTGTGTGTGTGTGTGTGTGTGTGTGTGTGAGGGAACAGATCCAGGCGTTCTGGTGGTAATAAGAAAACAAAGAGCGAGTTTTTCTGGCAGCACAGTCGCATTTTCTCGCCGTGTGTGTTTCTGAAAACTCAAAACTGAGATTATTATTAAAGGGGGGGGGTGTTGGATCGGGACCAGCTCTTCTCTGAGCGTGGCGTGGAGCTCTGGCCCCGAGCCGAGGAGCGAGCGAGGGAGAGAGAGAGAGAGAGAGGGGGGAGCAGATTTTTCTTCTCCTGGAGTGCTCAGAGTGGGCGGGGCTTCAGGACGAAGACATTTGGGGAGGATGAACATTAAATGTAAAAGTCAACCGTCAGCAGGGCGGCAGGGGCGGGGCTTGTGGAGGAGGCGTGAAAAAGCTGCTGCAGGGATTGGTGGAGACTGTTTGAAGATGAGGAGCGTGAGCGGCGTGATTCTTACTTACTCTGGGAAACCTGAACCGGACTCTGACACCCGGACCCCCGACAGCCTCTAAAGTGCACATCCAGAATGTCTCCGATCTGGTACGTCAGTGATCCTCGCCGTCCGCCAATTCCTGTCATCGGGGTGAAATGACGTCTAAAAACCTTTCACTTGTTCGTCGTTCGTGTTTTATTTTGAAAAGAAGCCGGATGTTTTATTTTGTGTCTGTGCCCGACTTCCTTTCCAGCACGGGTTAATCTGTGCTGAATTTATCCGCCATGCTCCGGCGTCCGACGGAAAGAAGTCGGTGTAAATTGACACGTTAACTTGAATGGTTACGATCAGCTACGATCGGAGGATACGACCTTTTAGGAGACGATCAGGATGAAGGTGGAGGTCGGGGGTTGGGCTCCTCGGTCCTCACGGTCAGCTGTTCGGTTTACTCGTCAGCAGGAAAAACGTCAGTCTTAAAAAAAGAGGAGGGACGGTAGAAAGACGACCTCCTCACAGGCGGACCGAACCCTGCAGGAGTGGAGCAGGTCTGACAGGAGGATGGAGGAGGACTTGAAAACTAACGCCGTGGAGTAAAGTGATGACGGTCAGAAGATTGAAGTTTATGATCATGAAATGGAGACGTTTGACTCCAGGACTCTGTTGAAAATATTGATATTAAAGTTTGAGTGTGAGGAAGAGAGTCGTCCAGCTGCAGGAAGTGAAACCAGGAGCTGCAGGAAGTCTCGGTGTTTCAGTGAGACGTCAGAGGAGCTGAAGATCGACTCTGATCTCTGCAGAGTTCCTCCGTCAGACTCACCCGGCTCTGCTCTGCGGTTAGATAACCTCGTGTGACCCGGTCAGCTCAGGATAAACAGCCGTGTGGGGATCCGGATGCTTGGAGCTGGGGGGGAGGACGGGGGAGGCGGCGGGAGGCAGTGAGAGTTTGTCTTCATCTGGCGAGGTCCGAGGGTCGTCTCGTTTGAAGTGCCGCTCCTCCGGATGGAGAGCATGGGAAACAGCTCCGCTCACCTTTCATGTCCTGAACCCGTCCTCCGACCTCACTGCCAGCTCTGGGTCAAAGGTCAAACAGGAGAGACGGGCCCGCCCCCTCAGCCGTCTCTGTCTGAACGGACGGCGTGAGGAGAAGAAGAGAGAGTCGGTCTTTCTGAGCGTGTGCGTGAATCCAGGAAGGAAGAGCTCTGTTTACTGATTTTACTCTCCAAGAATGAACGACACATCCGGCGCTGCGTGCCAGAGGGGGGCGGAGTCAGAGAGTATGCAGATCGGAGGGAGGGCAGAAGGCTCTCCTGGGACGTGAACTTCAGTCTCAGGTCATCCTCAAGTCTCCTTATCAGCGGGTTTTCCCTGAAGGAGCGAGGACCGTTTGGACCGTTGTTTGACTTTGAGTTCCTCTTCCCCTCCGAGTCCCAGCTGCTCAGGCCATCACTGTCCCAGGTGTGTGTGTGTGTGTGTGTGTGTGTGTGTGTGTGTGTGTGTGTGTGTGTGTGTGTGTGGGCGTTGCTCCAGCTGACGGAGGGAAATCTGGGGAAGGTGACCGACCTCAGGAGATAAGATCTTTAGTAGAGCGTTGAGGGAGCTCCTTCCTCAGAGCCGACCGTCGTTTTCCCTCCTAATGATTTTACAGTGAGGTGTCGAGTCTCCGCCTCCCGACCACGAACAGAGGAGCCGCGCCGACCGCAGACCCCGACCACTAACTGTCCGAGAGTTTGTCTAAAATCCAGATCCTCGGTCAGAGCCGATTTATGATCTTTACTCAGAGCAGTCACTGACAGCTTCGCAGAAATAACTTCAAAATAAAAGCATGACTCAGGTCTTTGGGATACCCGGGTATATTTTTAGAAATAACTTCAAAATAAAAGCATGATTTAGTTGTTTGGGGTACCCAGGTAAATGTAGAGTTAACTTCAAAATAAAAGCATAACTCAGGTGTTTAGGGATACTAAGGAAAATGAAAAATAACTTCAAAATAAAAGCATGACTAATTTATTGGGATACCTGGGTGAATGTAGAAATAACTTCAAAATAAAAGCATGACTAATTTATTGGGATACCTGGGTGAATGTAGAAATAACTTCAAAATAAAAGCATGACTAATTTATTGGGATACTCGGTTGAATGTAGAAATAACTTCAAAATAAAAGCATGACTAATTTATTGGGATACCCTGGGTGAATGTAGAAATAACTTCAAAATAAAAGCATGACTAATTTATTGGGATACTCGGTTGAATGTAGAAATAACTTCAAAATAAAAGCATGACTAATTTATTGGGATACCTGGGTGAATGTAGAAATAACTTCAAAATAAAAGCATGACTAAGGTCTTTGGGATACCCGGGTATATTTTTAGAAATAACTTCAAAATAAGAGCGTGAAAACCCTGACTCTGTGAGTTGGTGTCGGTCCTCCTGGAGATCCTGTCGTTCCTCCTGAAGGTCAAATCATGAACTTTTCTACATTCAAACACCTGAAAACAGGAAGTGTGTCTCGCTGTCGTTGAGTTTTGGGTCAAACTGAGCCGAAGGTTCTGAACCCGAGTCAGAGAGGTTCTGATGAGTTAGTGACCTCAGACTCCTTAGATACTCTGTAGTTTTATTTCTGTCAAAGGTCACGTAGACGTTTGTGTTTTTGGAGACAGGAAGTCTCTGGACTGACGGGTTAAACTCTCTCTGTCTCCTCTCTGCTCTCAGGCGCTCCGTACTGGACCTCCTCAGCGAAGATGGAGAAGAAGCTTCACGCCGTGCCGGCTGCAAACACGGTGAAGTTTCGCTGCGCCGCAGGAGGAAACCCCCGACCCAAACTACGCTGGCTGAAAAACAGCCGGCCTTTCCGCCAAGAGGACCGCATGGGGGGGTACAAGGTAGGTCCTGAACCATGAAACCTGTAAAAAGATCTTCAGGATCTTCAGCTTCCTGGTCCAGCTCTGCTCTGAGAGGATCGATCTCTCTCTCTCTCTCTCTGGTTCTTCTGCTAAAGTTCACGGATGTGTTTACAGGTCAGAGCAGGCCTCTTTTTTCCCATCAGCCCCGGCTGTCCTTTCACCTCTTTTCCACCCTTCACTGCAGAGACGTGAGGCGAGCGGACAGACGAGAGCAGGGCAGGGTTTCTGCTGTGAAATTGGAATCGCTCATCCGTGCTCCTCCTCTCACCAGGATCCTCTCTCTGAAACTCGAAATGCTCCTCTACCCCCGACAATCAGTAACCGGAGCCGGGGGCCGAAGGGTTAACTGCCCCTGGACTGTAACGTATAGAGAGAGAGAGAGAGAGCGAGAGAGAGAGCGAGCGAGCAGGCGGCGGCGTCAGGGTTGAAATGAGTTCAGAATGTGGAGTAACTCAATCAGGGAGAACTGGTCCCACTGGCTCGGGTTAGAGACCAGTTTCTGAGTGGAGCGTGTGGAACCTTTGTTATGAAACGGGTTTCCCTAACCCTGCTGGTTAAAGTTTAAACCGCTCTCCTCTCTGCAGACGCAAACCAAATTAAAACCATCAATAAACCCGTTAGAGGATCCTCAGAGGACGGAGAAATCCGGGACCGGACCTGTTAGAGTCTGGACAGGACCGGACCTGTTAGAGTCTGGACAGGACCGTTTAGATTCAGACGACGGGACAAAGTCTGTCCTCTGATTTAAACGTGCATTTAAACGTGACTGTAAAGACCTCCTCCACTCGGACCGAGTCCGTTTGGACCCTCAGCTCGGTTCTGGCGCTCATAGATTCCTGTGTTAACTGTTTTTAACCCGCGAACAGTAAAATTAGTAACAACATCAGTATCAGGACAAAACCTGAGAAATTAAAGTCGTTTTATTTTTAACTGTTTAATGTCCAAAGGGAGGAAAAAAGGGCCATGAGGGACCAGATAAAAACGAAATAACTCAAATTAGCCGTTCATCATCAATAAATTCATCAATAAATATATATTAATAAACTGTAAAGTTTCTTTTGGACCCATTCCTGGGTCAGACTCGGGGTCCTCGGCACAAAAACAAAAGAGAACCAAAATAGAGTATAAATAAAAAGTATAAATATATTTACAAATGTTCAGGATATGAAGCAGAAATATACACAAGTGTGTCACGGGTATATGATGTTGTTATGAATATGTTATAACTATAAGTATGTTCAGTCTATGAACAGATTATACATGTGGTTATAAATATGAAGGTTATAAACAGACTATAGATATGATTATATGACGGATGAAGTATGCAGTTGTGCAAAATTGGATTGTTTTCAGGAGTGAAAATGAGGTTTGAAAGGTTTGAAGTTGGTTCTACGGCAGATTCAGAGCTGACTCCAATATTTCTGAATTCCCTTGAAAATCAGGACCTACTTTACCCTCCATCACTAACATCAGCCTGTGAACACGAGTCTGTAGGAAAAAGCAGGTTTTAGATCAGGGAGACAAATCTGTCTTCAACCCAGAGACCCGTGATCATCTGAAAACATGTCGGCGATGGTCTTCTCGGGTGAAGCGGTGCTGATTCTGTTCCTGCAGCTTTCAGCGAGCTCATTACGGCGTGGACGGAAACAAGAGCGTCAGGCTGTCAGGCGCTGTGTGGGCAGGTCGGCGCTCAGACAAAGGCGTACCTGAGGCGTACCTGAGCCCCGCCCTGCGCTCTAATCTCTCCTTTGTGTGGATGTTGGTCTGAACAAGCAGCAGCTACAGTCTGCAGACGGAAACACTGTTGTCAGCTCACACCTGTGGATTCCTCACACTGTCCCTGCACAGAATGACGATAACTGTGTCTGAAAGAAAGAAAGGGGTTTCCTACCCGAGAGAGCAGGGACTGAGGCTGGACCAGAACCAGAACCAGAATCTTTTATCTCCTTAAATTAAAGACAGAAGACGTATTTACTCTGAAACAAAAGCAGGAGGACATGAAATTAAGAAAGTGTAGATCTGACTTCTCCTGGGGGATAAAGACACGTTCATTTCTCTGATGGACCTGAAGGTCCAGAACACAGAAGAAGGTTCTGGTTCTGGTTCTTCTTCTGGACTCGGGTTTTTAAAGAAACTCTGACTGATCTTACAGGGTTAGTTTTTGTTCAGTGTGCTGCGTCCGCCCTCTCCTCTGTCATACTTTCATCTGTGGTTCTGTGGGGGCTTCAGTGTGTCTGTGGTTCTGTTCAACCGGACCTCTCTCTCTCTCTCTCTCTCTCTCTCTCTCTCTCTCTCTCTCTCTCTCTCTCTCTCTCTCTCTCTCTCTCTCTCTCTCTCTCTCTCTCTCTCTCTCTCTCTCTCTCAGGTTCGCAGCCAGCACTGGACCCTGATCATGGAGAGCGTGGTGCCGTCAGATAAGGGCAACTACACCTGTCTGGTGGAGAACGAGTTTGGGTCCATCAACCACACCTACACTCTGGACGTAGTGGGTCAGTACCACACACACACACACACGCACACTCACACACACACACACACACACACACACACATGCTGGGACTCAACAATGGAGGGAGGAAGAGGAAGGACCTTTCACTGTAAGAACACTGCGTGCGTGTACGTGTGTGTGTGTGTGTGTGTGTGTGTGTGTGTGTGTGTGTGTGTGTGTGTGTGTGTGTGTGTGTGTGTGTGTGTGTGTGAGGTCTACCAGGTGCAGGTTTAAGAGAGCTGCCAAGTGGAAGCTGAAGCAGCAGGTGTTTGAAGGTTTCTATTGATGACTTTAGTGAGTTCATCCAAAACCTGATGATGATGATGATGATGATGATGATGATGATGAGGATGATGATGATGATGATGAGGATGATGAAGATGAGGATGATGATGATGATGATGATGATGATGATGAGGATGATGATGATGATGATGATGATGATGATGAAGATGAGGATGATGATGATGATGATGAGGATGATGAAGATGAGGATGATGATGATGATGATGAGGATGATGATGATGATGAGGATGATGATGATGATGAAGATGATGATGATGAAGATGAGGATGATGATGATGAAGGTGATGATGATGATGATGAGGATGATGATGATGATGAAGATGATGATGATGATGATGAGGATGATGATGATGAAGGTGATGATGATGAAGATGATGATGATGATGATGATGATGATGAAGATGATGAAGATGTTTTGTGAAGTTGTGAGTATCTGTATAATTTCGACCAGAGTACCAGAGTACAGGGTCGGTGGTTCAGTACAGAGACAGTAAAAGTTCCAACATCTGATTCATTCAGACTCGAACCCCAGATTTCCACCGCGTCAGGAACGGCGGCGATCTTCGCCGTCAGCATCTCCTCCTCCATGGTGTCATCAGGGTGAAATGACGACTAAAAACCTTTCACTTGTTAGTGGTTTGTGTTTTATTTTAAGTCTGTGCCCGAGTCCGACGATCCTCAGAGGAACGGAAAGAAGTCGGTGTAAATCGACACGTTAACTTGAATGGTTACGATCAGCTACGATCGGAGGATACGACCTTTTAGGAGACGATCAGGATGAAGGTGAAGATCGGGGGTTATGGTCAGGTTCAGGTAAAACCTGGATATTGTGGTCTGGGTTTGAAGGTTCCTGGAGGTCCTGGATATTGTGGTCTGGGTTTGAAGGTTCCTGGAGTTCCTGGACAGTGCAGTCCTGGTTCTCAGGATTCTGGTCATGCTTCAGTTGGTTCCTCACAAACGCTGAGGCGGGTTTTTCTCTGGCGTGGACCTGAGTCTCTCTGACTGTTTCAGCGGGTTCAGGTCTAACTCGGTGACCCCCCCCCCTCGGTGACCTTTGGAGCTCAGAGAGTAAAGAGAGTTTTTCTGCTGAGTCAACAGATCGATGGGCGCTGTGATAGTGGATCAGTGTTTGTTTGTGTACAGAGCTCCGCCCCTTTGACCTCACTCGAACCACGAGGACAGAGCCGATCAGAGGAGATCTGACACCGTTTCCCTCCGGATCAATAACCCCGCCGTGACCTTCAGGACCCTCGGAGAGACCCCCCCTCCTTCTATTTTGATGAGCGTCTCCATGGTGATAAGGAGTATTACCTCCATTATATCAGATGAAGATTAAATACCTGAGGGCTTCGTGCATGTGCACGTGCACGCTCACTCATGGCCCCCGGCCCGGGCCCCCTGCTCTGCTCCCCTCCTCCAGACTGCAAAGTTCTGTGCAGTTCTGTCTTAGGAGGACAGAGGAGGAGACGAGGAGGACAGAGGAGGAGACGAGGAGTAGACGAGGAGGAGACGAGGAGGAGAAGAGGAGGACAGAGGAGGACAGAGGAGGAGACGAGGAGGAGACGAGGAGGAGAAGAGGAGGACAGAGGAGGACAGAGGAGGAGACGAGGAGGACAGAGGAGGAGACGAGGAGGAGACGAGGAGGAGAAGAGGAGGACAGAGGAGGAGACGAGGAGGACAGAGGAGGAGACGAGGAGGAGACGAGGAGGAGAAGAGGAGGACAGACGAGGAGGAGACGAGGAGGACAGAGGAGGAGACGAGGAGGACAGAGGAGGACAGAGGAGGAGACGAGGAGGAGACGAGGAGGACAGAGGAGGAGACGAGGAGGAGACGAGGAGGACAGAGGAGGACAGAGGAGGAGACGAGGAGGAGACGAGGAGGAGACGAGGGGGAGAAGAGGAGGACAGAGGAGGAGACGAGGAGGACAGAGGAGGAGACGAGGAGGACAGAGGAGGACAGAGGAGGAGACGAGGAGGAGACGAGGAGGACAGAGGAGGAGACGAGGAGGACAGAGGAGGAGACGAGGAGGACAGAGGAGGAGACGAGGAGGAGACGAGGAAGACAGAGGAGGAGACGAGGAGGACAGAGGAGGAGACGAGGAGGACAGAGGAGGACAGAGGAGGAGACGAGGAGGAGACGAGGAGGACAGAGGAGGAGACGAGGAGGACAGAGGAGGAGACGAGGAGGACAGAGGAGGACAGAGGAGGAGACGAGGAGGACAGAGGAGGAGACGAGGAGGACAGAGGAGACGAGGAGGAGACGAGGAGGAGACGAGGAGAAAGGAGGTCTCCTCTCCTCAGTCTCTGTAAAGGACCTGCTGGATGGGCTCAGAGGAACCGGTCTGTTCTGGTTCTGACCGGCTCAGGAGAAAAGGTCTCAGTGGGACAGAAACACAGTCCCAGGAGTCCCCACACTCGCCTCTGTCCCTCTGTGGACACACGGACGCGCTGCACTTTGTCGCTCTGCCACGCTGCGTTCTTCGTCTGTCCCCGCCCCTCTTTGACCATCCCAGTGCCAGGCCGCCAGGTTACCCAGAGTTCACCAGTCTCGCATGGGACGCCATGGAATGCCGTCAGTCTGTGTCCTCGCTCCACGCTCTGCCCCCGTCCAATCAAGTTCATCCTCCAATGAATTAATTGATAAATGGACTCAGTTTGGAAACGGGTCAGAGCCGACACGCCGGGTCAGAACTTTGACCCGTTTTGAGAGAATGTTCAGATCCTTCAGTCAAAGTGGTCCAAAGGTCCCGGTCTGCAGACGGACGTCCCTGTCTGTGACCCTGTCTGTGACCCTGTCTGTGACCCTGTCTGTGACCCTGTCTGTGACCCTGTCTGTGACCCTATATGTCCTGTTGATGAAGTTAGGTGCTGTTCTGAGCATTATTTGTGGCTATAGAGTGGCGTTTTGGTTGAGGGCGTGTCTCTCTGTATTTCTATCCTGCGGTCGTTACTAAAGTTGGTATAACTAGAGAAGGAAGCGGTCGACAACATTCATCTCTGGAGGGGGCGGGGTCTAACTCGGGGTTACGGTGGGTTTGACCCTAAATTAATTTAATGACAGAATATCCCTTTAATGAGATTTTCCACATTAACGTTTGAAGTTGTTTCTGCGCCGACGTCTGTTCGAACCCTCATCTCTGCCAGCAGACCGACCCTCATGGACCCTCATGGACTGTCATGGACCCTCATGGACTCTCATGGACTCTCATGGACCCTCATGGACTCTCATGGACCCTCATGGACCCTCATGGACCCTCATGGACCCTCATGGACTCTCCTGGACTCTCATGGACTCTCACGGACTCTGATCCATCAGGTTTTTATTTGTGTAGCTGCTCGAGCTGCGAACAGTTTGGTCCACTCTGTCAGGTGGTTCCCAACATGAGGTCAGACCCCCCCTACAGGGTCACCAGATCCATGTGATGGAGGCTGTGAGAAAATTAATGGGAGAGAAACCCACGTCTGACACGCTGATCTGGTTTTAGTTTTCTCCAGTTTTGGATGAAGTGATCAGAAACATCTGAGTCTGTTTTGGTGGGACACAAACGCTGAGAGAGTTCTTCTGACTAAAGTCACGATATAATCAGAGGGAAAAAGAGCAGAATGTTCCTTTAAAAGGATCAGAGTGAAAGTGTTTTAATCTAACTGAACTGTGAAGGAGCTCAGCCTCTCTCTCTCTCTCTCTCTCTCTCTCTCTCTCTCAGTTTCACACGTCTCAGGTCTCATACCGAACGTTTTCTAGATCCTTCCTCTGGTCTTTTTTCCTCCTCGCTCCTTCTTCTCATTTCAGCCAGAACTGCTCCTCAAACTTTGGGTTGTTTTGGGGGCAGCAGCTCCATGATCTGCAGACTCTGAATGCTCCAGCTCACATTTGGATCCTGGGTAATGAAGGTTGGAGACAGTCGGGATTAAAGAGAAACGAATCCGTCTGTTTTCACGACTCCGCTCTTATTTATGAGCGAGAGTTCAAACTGTCCATCTGAGGAGGCCTGAGAAAGACGGATGGAGAGAAAACAGGGGGAGAGAGAGAAAGACAATAAACATGGAGAGCCTGAGGAATGTGGGGGGGGGGGCAGGAATCATCTGATCTGACAGAGAAGAAGAAGAAGAAGAAGAAGAAGAAGAAGAAGAAGAAGAGGAAGAAGAAGAAGAAGAAGAGGAAGAAGAAGAAGAAGAAGAAGAAGAAGAAAACTGTCTGAATCTGAAGTTTTTCCACTCTCCATCTGTTCATCCGGCTCCTTCTTCCTTTTTTAGTCCTTTTTCTGGAGCTAAGCCTCCTCCCTTCATCACACACACACACACACACACACACACACACACACACACACACACACACACACACACACACACACACACACACACACACTCTCTCTCTACTGCAGGAACAGATTCACTGCACCCACCTTGAGGCTTAAGGCTTTGTTTTGTAAAGGCACTGCAGAGCTGCAGGCTGAGTGATGTCATCTGTGTGTGTGTGTGTGTGTGTGTGTGTGTGTGTGTGTGTGTGCTGTCAGAGTGGGGGTTGGGGGGGTCCTCACTGCTGTTGTGGAGGCCGGCTGGTGTTTGAAAGGGGGCATTGTTCAGCAGGTCTCGCTCTGTTTGGATTCTCAGACCGAATGTTTGCGTGTTAAAGAATGTAGATAGCTGGAGATGGTGTGTGTGTGTGTGTGTGTGTGTGTGTGTGTGTGTGTGTGTGTGTGTGTGTGTGTGTGTGTGTCTGACACCTCCACTCACACACAGTATAAATGTACACCCTGCCTCCTCTCTTTATCAGTAAACGCCGAATTCCTCGCCCTCTCTGTTTTGTTTGGAGCGGCTCAGATAAGGCCGAAGTTGAGCCGCCATGTTTTTTTTTTTTTACCTGTCAGGCTGCTGGGAAAAAAAAAAAACTCTCCAAGTATGTGGAGCTCTTCTTCTCCAGCAAACATCAGCCCAGAGTTCCAGGTCTGAGTCTCCTGCAGACGTTATAAAGACAAATTAGCTGTTTTTTGTAGCGCCTCCGGTGGTGAAGTTTGGTACTCTGCTCCTCCATGGTCGGTCTCTCACTCAGTTCGTTTACAGTCTCAGTTTAATCAGACTAACCTCATAATTCGTCTTTTTCTCTGAATCAGACTTCTCTCCTTGTAGCTGAGAAAACTGAATCATTGAGGTGAACGTGTCCTCCTCCCCAACACTAGGGGGCGATATGGGTCTTTTCAACAACAACAGCAGGTCGGTGTCAGACGTCAGAAGTGTCTACAACTGCTGCTGGGCATTTTGGAGAAACAAGAAGATGGAGCATCGTACAGCGTTGTTTTTGTCCGACATGATGGACGCGCTACTTTTTCTAAAGATGAGACCAACGCTACTCCTCTACTCTGGGGTTTCCAGGGTTACGGGGGCGTGGCTTCATACTCCGACTACGCTGGTTACATGGTAGAGAAAATCAAATTCCAATCTCATTATCTGGGTGTCTTAATCTGAGTTCTTAAACTCTGATTATAGTCGGACTAAAGTGTTTACGTGACCTTCAGTTGTCCGGTCTTCATCGGAATAAGGCGATAATTCGGTTTAGTGTCATGGAAACGGACTGACTGACTTCCAGTTCTTTGTTGAAAGGACAACTGGACTTAGTTGTCCTTTCCATGCAGAGATTCCCACTCCAGAGTCATGTGACTAACCTGTTGGACATGTTGGTTTGAAATCGTCTGAAAACCATAAAAATCTGTTTTATTTTTGATCATTTTAACACTTAAATGTCTTTTAAACTTCGTCCCTCAGAGTTCGGAGTTCTCAAACTCCGATTACAGTCAGAGTTTTGTCGTGTTTATAGTGTTTTTGTTCTGGGGTTACGGGGGCGTATTATCTGGGTGTCTTAATCAGAGTTACTCAAACTCTGATTATAGTCGGACTAAGGTACATGACCTTCAGCTGTCCGGTCTTAATCGGAATATGCCGATAATTCGGTTTTCTCTAGTGTCATGGTAACGGACTGACTGACAGACTAAAAGCTTCAGGATAAAATCAGTTCAGTATTTAAATCTATTCAAACAACAACATGTTGTTTGTTCACATTGACAGTGAAGTCAGACCTCAGGACGTCCAGTTTGGGTCACATGACCTCAAAGACCTGACCAGGATGAACCTGGTTCAGATCTTTATCAGAGGTCACAGGAGTGAACTCCTCGTCTCAGCCTCTCTGAGATTGTCTGTACCTTTAAGTTGAACCTCTAACAGCATCACGGCGGCGCTCCACAGGCGTCACACAAGGAGGAGAGTTCTGAGTCCCTATTGGTCGAGGTTTTTCCTGCAGATCTTTCTGAACCTGAACATCCGTGTCCTAACAAAGCTTCTCCTCTCTGTCTGCAGAGCGCTCTCCTCACCGGCCCATCCTCCAGGCCGGTCTCCCCGCCAACACCACCGTGCACGTGGGAGAGGACGCCCGCTTCGTCTGCAAGGTTTACAGCGACGCACAACCTCACATCCAGTGGCTGAAACACATCACTCAGAACGGCAGCCGCTACGGGCCGGACGGACACCCCTACGTCCGAGTGTTGAAGGTGAAGTTCCTGCAGCAGTTCTTCTCCTCCTTCCTGTTTCTGCAGGTGACCTGATGACCTCGGAGGAGGAGCCGAGCGTCAGGAAGGGCGTGACCGGGGTTCTGGTTCTGTCCGAACAGCTGCTGTAACCATGTTTGCACGTCTGAGTCTGAGCACGTTTGAAAAGTTAACACCTGGAGTGTGTTTGTGTGTTTGTGTTTGTGTTTGTGTGTGTGTGTGTGTGTGTGTGTGTGTGTGTGTGTGTGTGTGTGTGTGTGTGTGTGTGCGTGTTTCAGCGCTCGGGCATTAACAGCTCTGACGTGGAGATGCTCACCCTCACCAACGTGACGGAGGACGATGCTGGAGAGTATATCTGTAAAGTCTCCAATTATATAGGCGAGGTCAACCAGTCGGGCTGGCTCACGGTCATCCCAGGTAACCCTGAGACCCCTGACCCCGCCCACCCCCAAACCCCGCCCCCCCACCCTCCTGCTGTGGTTTCCTGGGCTCCATCCCTGACCTGCTGTGCTGTGGTGGTCCTGCTGGTGGTCTCTTGGTGGTCCTGGGTTCAGGGTTTAACCCTTTGTGTTTCAGCTGCTCCCAGATGGTTGCAGACATGGAAGCAGGCTCCGCCCCGCAGGCTCCGCCCTGCAGACATACGCCCGCCGTGTCAGACGGTGTATGTGTGGGCGGAGCCGTGCTCTCCATGCTCTCTGTGTCGGTGCATGTCCTCCCTGCAGAGACTCTGTTGGTGACGGGAACCTCCTGTTTGGGTTTTTGGGGGTCTGTGTTTTGGTGTCTCTGTCTGTGCCCCGCCCCCTCCTGTCAGGACCCTCAGTGATGGACGGCGTCAGACTCTCTTACTCCTCTCTCGGTGTTTTGGGTCTCATTTGTTTCTCTTCCTCTCTCTCTCTCTGACTCCCCTTTTCTTCTTTCCGTTGGCTCTTCTCTCCCCTCCTCCTCCTCCTCTTCCTCTCCTCCTCCTCCCTCCTCTCCTCCTCCTCTCCTCCTCCTCCTCCTCCTCCTCCTCTTCCTCTCCCCAGACTGCAGGTGTTAACACCACAGATAAGGAGATAGAAGCTCTCTTCTTGCCCAATGTAACCTTTGAGGATGCGGGCGAGTATACGTGCTTGGCGGGTAATTCTATTGGGATCTCCTTTCACACTGCTTGGTTGACGGTTCTCGCAGGTACACACACTCTCACTGTCCTCTGTGTCTCCGTCTCTGTCCGTCTCTTTTCAGTCTTTGTCTTTGAAGGGAAACCCTCCCCTCTGAGTCTGAGACACAGATGTTAGACATCAGGGTCAGAGAGCCGTGGTTTTCAGACTCAGAAATGAAACGTCTCCTGCAGAGGGGAGGGTTTGTCCTCCTCTGTCTTCTGTCTCCTCTCAGTTTGTCTCTGCATGTCTGTGTCATTTTCACTCTCTGAACATCTTTATTCTCCTGAAATAAAGATGGACAGTCGGACTTTTGTGTGTCTGATAGTCCTGTCCCTGAGCCCGCCTTCGTCTCACCCTCGCTCTTTACCCCCCAGCTCCAGACAAACCCCTCGGCCCGCTCTCCCCCGACTACGTGGAGATCGCCATCTACTGTGCGGGCGTCTTCCTCATCGCCTGCATGGTGGGCATCGTGGTGGTTTGTCGCATGAGGAACACGGCGAAGAAACCCGACTTTGGGGGCCAACCGGCGGTCCACAAACTGAGCAAGCAGATCCCTCTGCGCCGCCAGGTAACAGAAAGTAGATAAAGAGTTCGAACGGCATCTAACACCTTAGAGGAGAGCGACCACACACTGTTAGTTCAGACAGGCCTCAGAGTCAAGCTCCGCCCACAACGTATCAGCTGATTGGCTGTTTTAAAGCTCCTGAACAGATATAGATTCCACCAAATCCAACGTCCTGCATGAAAACATTATTTTATTATTTTAACTACAAACAGGAAATAAAACCTCAAACTTTGAGGAGGAAACCCTCAGATCCAAACATCAGAGTCCAGCTCTGTCTTCTGTTCTGATTCTTTCCCTCTAAAGAAACTCAAAGTACTTTTAAAGGTCCGCAGCAGAACCTGTGGGGCGCCCGGTTCCTGTGCCGAGGTAAGGTCAGGGTGGGAGGTGTCTTCATCGTCCCTCTTATCAGTCAAACGCTCTTCTCCTCTAAGAACGCCGTAGAACTCTCTGACCTTCGCACCCAGACTCCGGTGATCAGCCAATCCCTCTCTTCCTGTAGGTGTCGGCGGACTCCAGCTCGTCCATGAACTCCAGCACGCCGCTGGTACGCATCACGACACGGCGGAGCTCGGCACACGACGAGCCGATCCCAGAGTACGACCTGCCAGAGGATCCACGCTGGGAGTTTTCTCGAGACAGGTGAGAGCTGTGGGTTTACTCCGTGAGATTCTGTGAGGGTCTGAAAACGACTCCTGCACGGTGAGGATCTATGTGAGTATATCTATACTGATAGAGGATCTGAGTCCTGGGGTCCGTTTCACGTAGGTGGTTCAACAAACTCTGAGTTAAATCCTTAACTCTGAGTTCGGAAACTCTGAGTTTCCGGTTTCACAACTCCTGATTTGAGACGGTTTTAACAACTCCGAGTAGTTTGACCTGGAGTTAAGCACGTGCACGCCAGACATAAACAGCCAGCATCTGTGGAGCGCAGATTCAATGATCAACCAATGGAAACAGGGAGAAGGAGGGGGCAGCAGCAAGCCAACAGCGAATTACAGCACGTTTTTAAAAGAAAGTGCAATACAGCAGCAGCTGCAGAGGAGAGGGAGAGGGCTTGTGAGGAAATCGCTGCTCGCGTCAATGCGTAACTTTAAATCTAGTCTCGTGCAATCACAATGACAGACTGTTGCAGGGAAACTGCTTGAATCATTTTGATCATGTTTTACATTGTCAAGTAAGTATTAAGTGGCAGTTTGATCCCTTAGAAAATTGCTCTTTTCACACTCAAAAATGAATTTTACTCTCTTATGATGTTCCGTTAAATGATTAGGAATATTAAACTAACTCTCAGTATGTATATGTACATATATTAAACTAACACACGCTACACTCAATATTAGACTTTCACTCAGCAAACAGAAAGAGGGCAGATGCCAGAAAAACGGGTGGTGGTCCAGCAGCCCCCCCCCCCCCCCCTTAGACGATCGAAACCCCCACCCCGTAGCAGCGATCGTGTGTGTGTGTGTGTGTGTGTGTGTGTGTGTGTGTGTGTGTGTGTCTGTGGTGGGGGGGATTTGCGATCGGACCGGCCGCGATCGTCGAACGGGGTGGGGTGGGGGGCAGCTCCTCTGCCTCCGTTAAAGGTGGGGCTGCTGGACCACCACCCGTTTTTGTGTTAGTTTAATATTCCTAATCATTTAACGGAACATAATAAGAGAGTAAAATTCAGTTTTGAGTGTGAAAAGAGCTTTTTTAAAGGGATCAAACTGCCACTTAATACTTACTTGACAATGTAAAACATGATCAAAATGAGAAAATGCCGATGTCTCACCTGAAACTCTGGGTTTACTGAGTTAAACCTGCTCCCGAGCAGGTTAGGTTCACGGAGTCTGTTACTGTGGTAACTGACCGCGAGGTTGAGTTACCTCTCTTTGTGAAACAGGTTAGAGTTACCCCTCTCTCCCTGGTTTAACTAACCCTCCTTTGTGAAACGGAAAACTCAGAGTTTCCCTGATTTCAGGGTTAACAAACTCGGAGTTTCCATTAAACCTGCTACGTGAAACGGACCCCTGTTGTCCTGAGTACAGAGTCAGTGACTCTGACAGACAGCAGCTAAAGAGGGCGAGCTGTGAAGAATGAGAGAAGAGGGACGGATTCATTCATTCCTGCTGCGCTTCACACACACACACACACACACACACACACACACACACACTCACACACACACACACACACACACCCTGCTAATTATCGGGTGTCTCTCTCGCCTTTTATCGGCCTGTTTCAGCGGAGGAGTGTTCGCCGGCGTTCATACCAGAGGAATTATCGCCGCCGAGGTTTCAGTTTGTCACAGTGTGAGGAGGTTTAACGGCAGGTCAAAGGTCAGAGGAGCTTCAGACACCAAACAGGCCTGAGTGTAGAAGAAGAAGAAGAAGAGGGAGGAACATAAACTTAAACATCAGCCATCAGAGAGGAAAACATGCCTGGAGTAGCTCTCGCCTCTCTGGTGTGTTTATGTTAAAGTCCATCTAACCAGACAGACTCGCCTCATAAGCTTTTTTTTCGTCCTCTCTGATTGGTTCCCTGTGCCGCCGTCGTCTCAGAGCGGGGGGGATTATGTTGGGATGGCGGCTCTCTGAGGAATGCTAACGTTAGCGGTTTGTGAGGAGGGAAAAATAACATTGATTATGTGCGGCTGGACGGACAGAAGGGCTTCTATTCAGCATAGAGAGAGAGTGTGTGTGTGTGTGTGTGTGTGTGTGTGTGTGTGTGTGTGTGTGTGTGTGTGTGTGTGTGTGTGTGTGTGTGTGTGTGTGTGTGTGTGTGTGAATGTGTGTGTGTGTGTGTGTGTACGCACACAGACAGGGGATTGTGTTTCAGCGGCAGGGCGCCGGCCTCGGGCTCGTAGCTTTGCGGCGTGCAGTGTGAGTGTTTACATAGCCGGGACACTGGGCCAGGGGGCGGGGCTACACCTGTCAATCACAGCGTAAGGCGGGGTCACAGGGGTCAGCTGAGTGCAGGGCCCTGACGGATGGTTGTCGGAGGACTGATCGATCAGTGCGCTGCAGGAAGTGAAACTCTGGCTCCTGATTGGATGAAATCAAACTTTACATGATTCAGACCCCGGTTCAGCAGAGCGTCACTCACAGGCTGGCGAGTGTAAGTGAAGCTCCGCCCTCTGTGATGACTGGCAGGGAGTGTGTGCTGAAACCTGCCAGCGCAGGATAAACAGTTTGGTTTTATCAGGTGATTATCGCTGCCATGGCGGCCTCTACCTGCTGCCCTGGCACGGGCTGCAGTCACCGCGCCAATAAAGCTTTCTCACACACACACACACATGCACGCACACACGCACACACACACACACTGAGCGGAGACAGAGAGAAAACACAGGGTGAGGCTGAGAACCTGGCGGTGTGCCTGGTTTCATTCTCGGACTCTCCCTCTGTCTTTGTTTCTGCAGCAGATTAAACGCCGTCGCTGTCAGATCAGCTCCAGGAGCGCTCAGCTCCTCCCACACGTTCACAAACGTCCTGAAAAAGGGCGGAGCTTTACCCACAGAGGCTGCGACAGTAAACACACACGTCTGCAGCAGCTGACCCAGACTTTCATTCACCTACGCTCTACTGATCAGCGTCTCTCAGGTGGAGACATCTGTGAACGCTCATGTCCTGATCCATGTCTGGACCTCCTCTGCTCCTCCTCCTCCTCCTCCTCCTCCTCCTCCTCCTCCTCCTCCTCTCTGCCTGTTTTTTTCAGACTATCTTTACTGTCAGACTCATTCTTTGATAACTGGACGGCTGAAATCATAACCACCGTTGACTGTTCTATAAAGATGGCGTTCGTCTCTGCCCGCAGGTTGACTCTGGGGAAACCTCTGGGCGAAGGCTGCTTCGGTCAGGTGGTCATGGCGGAGGCTCTGGGCGTCGATAAGGACAAACCCAAGGAGGCGGTGACGGTGGCTGTGAAGATGCTGAAAGGTGAGAGTGTCCTCCTGCTGGGTCAGAGCAGAACCAGAACTCTGGGTCCGTTCTCATCGGGAACCTGAGATCAGCTGATTAAAGCGGAGGAGATGAGAGGTGGAGCCTGAGGCCGTCATTATGAGTCCTTATTGGTGGCTGCTGAGTGATGATGGGTGAGGGGCAGGTACATACCTGACCTCAGAGCAGCAGCTGGCTGCAGCTCAGTCAGCACCGACACAAAGAGGCGAGTCACAGCGCCATGATTAATGAAAAGGGGCGGAGCTTCAAGGATGGTAGTCAGAACAGGTACAGCTGTGTGACGGTGAAATCTGAGTCTAAATATAGAACAGAACAGTCCTTCTGTTTTCATCCAGAACCTCTATGGTGTCACCGAACAAGGTGTTAGTCCAGGCAGGCCACAAAGTCCAGCTGCTCATCCTGCTTCTTCTGCAAACGCAGCTCCTTCTCTGAAAACGGCGTCTGATTTCACCAGGGTCACAGAGACCAGGGTCATGGAGACCAGGGTCATGGAGACCAGCCTTTTAGGAGAAACATGCAATAAAAAACAAAAACTGACCAATCAGGACTCGACAGTTCGACTGTTTCACTCTCATTAGCGACTAAAAATAGATGTGTAGAATTGTCAGATGTATTTAGAGTCACATGTGCTCATAATAAAAATCAACAAATGTTTTTTTTCCTGTAAATACGGCGGTGAAGTTAGTTTTAGGTTGGATATATTCTCCTGTAATTAGGCGGTGAAGTTAGTTTCAGGTTGGATATATTTTCCTGTAAATACGGCGGTGAAGTTAGTTTCAGGTTGGATATATTTTCCTGTAAATACGGCGGTGAAGTTAGTTTCGGGTTGGATATATTTTCCTGTAAATACGGCGGTGAAGTTAGTTTCAGGTTGGATATATTTTCCTGTAAATACGGCGGTGAAGTTAGTTTCAGGTTGGATATATTTTCCTGTAAATACGGCGGTGAAGTTAGTTTCAGGTTGGATATATTTTCCTGTAAATACGGCGGTGAAGTTAGTTTCAGGTTGGATATATTTTCCTGTAAATAGGCGGTGAAGTTAGTTTTAGGTTGGATATATTTTCCTGTAAATACGGCGGTGAAGTTAGTTTCAGGTTGAATATATATTTTCCTGTAAATAGGCGGTGAAGTTAGTTTTAGGTTGGATATATTTTCCTGTAAATACGGCGGTGAAGTTAGTTTCAGGTTGGATATATTTTCCTGTAAATACGGCGGTGAAGTTAGTTTCAGGTTGGATATCTGACGGACATTCTCTGAGGATCTACCGGTGTCTTCTCACTCTCCATAACCGGGAATAACAACAGCAGCGCGGTTAAATCTACTCGACACCCTCACTGTCAACATCGGTGTTGAATAAGGGACCGTCAATAAATTACCGGTTGATGTTCTCAGAAAAGGCTGTTTTCCTTCAATAGCTTCACTGTCATGTGACCAAAAGACCTAAAATTGATTTCTAATAATAGTACTAAGGTCGATCAATAAGACAAACATTATTGATCAGTTTTCATTGATCCTCTAAAGTTCTTTGTGCTCCTTACTTTTTGAACTCAGGAGAACAAAGTTAGAGTCGATCCCTGTAAATCATTAAAAACATGTTGACATGTGATCCATGGAGACCTGGAGGACGTTTCAGGTCTCAGTCAGGTAGAGGCTGATTCTCAGATCTCTTATAAAATCAAAGTTGAAGGTCTGCAGGTGAAGTTCAGCTGATGGGCTGAAGAGGAACCTGTGCAGCAGATTTAGTGTCTCTAATCATCTTGCAGGGTCAGAGACGAGGAGGTGGGTGTGGTTTTGTTTGTCTGATCAGAGCTCCTGTCTCCACAGATGACGCCACAGAGAAGGACCTGTCTGACCTGGTGTCAGAGATGGAGATGATGAAGATGATCGGAAAACACAAGAACATCATCAACCTTCTGGGGGCCTGCACGCAAGACGGTGAGTGGGACAGGAAACATCTTCATAAAACAGAGCCAAGAGAAGAACCGGGTCCGACTGGATCTCAGAGGTCCGGTTCTGGTGACTGATGTTGGTGCCTGAGTTCAGCAGCAGAGAGTTTGGACCTTCTCTCCTCAGATTTAAAGATGTAACTTCTCCTCTCTCCGCTGTAGGACCTCTTTACGTCATCGTGGAGTACGCCTCCAAAGGAAACCTGAGGGAGTACCTGCGCGCACGCCGGCCGCCCGGCATGGAGTACTCGTACGACATCGCCCGAGTCTCGGACGAGCAGCTCACCTTCAAAGACCTGGTCTCCTGCACCTATCAGGTGGCTCGAGGGATGGAGTACTTGGCCTCCCAGAAGGTACGAGAGAGTCCTGTTCTCGCAGCACGCCACGGGTTCATGTAGGAGGGTGGCGTGTGCGTCACTGTGGGAATGTTGTCCCCTAAAAAGACCCCCTCCCCCCCATTGTCCCCCATCGTCCCCCATCGTCCCACCACAAAGACCCTCTGTGTGGGAGCAGGGTGAGGGTTTCACAGCGGGGGGTGGCCATGTTGGCCAAACGCAGCCTCTCGCTCCCTCTCACTGCAGGAATGTGACACACACACGCACACACACACACACACACACACACACTGAGTGTATATGTGTTAAAGCATGAGAGGAATGTGAGCGTGTGCAGACTGGTCTCTGACTCGCCGCCGCCGTCGTCATGGCGTCATGTTGTTTCTGCTTCATCACATCCTCCACAAACATCTGAACTCTCCACAGGAAGTTTACACCTGTTTCACCTGATTTATGTCCGCCGTGAGCTAACCCTCCTCCTCCTCTTCACTTTCCCCTCTTGGCCCCGCCCCCTCAGTGCATACACAGAGACCTGGCGGCCCGAAACGTTCTGGTCACCGAGAGCAACGTCATGAAGATCGCCGACTTCGGCCTGGCCAGAGACGTCCACAACATCGACTACTACAAAAAGACGACCAATGTGAGTGCTCAGACGGGGGGGGGGGTGGGTGTTTTTGGGGGCGGGGTCAGTCCTCCATCTTTGAGCTGCTGTGTTGGCAGGAGCTGCAGGTTCCCAGGCCGGCGCTGAATGTCGTGCTTCTGCAGACTCGGCCGTGTTTATCCCTCAGCCTCTTGTTCCTTTAGCTCCAAAGAGTCTTTACAATTAGCCAGAGAGAAAACAGAGAGGGTGAGAGAGGGTGAGAGAGAGAGAGAGAGAGAGAGAGAGAGAGAGAGAGAGAGAGAGAGAGAGAGAGAGAGAGAGAGAGAGAGAGGGAGAGAGAGGGAGAGAGAGAGAGAGAGAGAGAGAGAGAGAGAGAGAGAGAGAGAGAGAGAGAGAGAGAGAGAGAGAGAGAGAGAGAGAGAGAGAGAGAGAGAGAGAGAGAGAGAGAGAGAGAGAGAGAGAGAGAGAGAGAGAGAGAGAGAGAGAGAGAGAGAGAGAGGGAGAGAGAGAGAGAGAGAGAGAGAGAGAGAGAGAGAGAGAGAGAGAGAGAGAGAGTGAGAGAGGGTGAGAGAGAGAGAGAGAGAGAGAGAGAGAGAGAGAGAGAGAGAGAGAGAGAGAGAGAGAGAGAGAGAGAGAGAGAGAGAGAGAGAGAGAGAGAGAGAGAGAGAGAGAGAGAGAGAGAGAGAGAGAGAGGGAGAGAGAGAGAGAGAGAGAGAGAATCCACAGCGTCTCCACAGCCGCTCGCTCTTTCAGAGTTTTTTCCCACCGCAGTGCAGCATCGACTCATCCCCATCATGATGAGAACAACAAGAAGAGAGGATGATGATGATGATGATGGGGGTGGGGGGGTGGACCTTCTCTGAAATATCATTGGCCGGCCCAGCTCTGAAACTCCGCCTCTCCAAGTGTGAGTGAAGGTGTGAGTGAAAGTCCGCCCGCAGAGATCAGGGCGGCCATGACTCTGTGTGTGTGTCAGCTGTTTTATTGTGAAAGGACTGAACAAAGAGCAGGGATTTTCAAAATAAAAGCCTGGTGGTTCGTTTTCTGTCCTTGTTTTTACAGGGAGCTTTTATTTTGAAGGTTTCTAAATGAGTAAATCAGGTTTAGATCCAGTCTGGGTTCAGGGTGTCAGAGAAACTGTGACCTCAGACAGGACAGGAATAAAGAGAGGGTCGTGTGTTTTCTGACCGCTCACCTGTGTGTGTGTGTGTGTGTGTGTGTCCTCAGGGTCGACTCCCGGTGAAGTGGATGGCTCCAGAAGCTCTGTTCGACCGGGTCTACACGCACCAGAGTGACGTGTAAGTATAAAAACTGTAACCCCCGACCTCCACCTTCATCCTGATGGTCTCCTAAAAGGTCGTGTCCTCCGATCGTAGCTGATCGTAACCATTCAAGTCAACGTGTCAATTTACACCGACTTCTTTCCGTTCCTCTGAGGATCAAAATCTAAATCTAACACTGAGGCGAGACGTCTCAGAAACGTCTCAGGTAGGTCCAGTTGTCCTTTCAACAAAGAATTAGAAATCACAGTTTTCCAAGAGTAGACGGTCCAATCAGCTCGTTCTTATTTCCAACGACGTCTGAACTCTGATGGAGTTATCGTTGTAGATGTAGATGTAGATGTAGATGTAGATGTAGATGTAGATGTAGATGTAGATGTTTCTCCTTCTTCTACCAGCGTCATGAATCTTGATGTTAAAGTTACACAGACAGAGACTCTGATGGTTCCTGAGGTTTGATCTGATCTTCTGGTTTCTGGAACTAAAAACACCGTTTTTGTCCCGCTCAGCTGTCAGGTCAGAGGCTCGTTCTTCAGGAGTGTGTGTGTGTGTGTGTGTGTGTGTGTGTTTGTGTGTGTGTGTGTGTGTGTGTGTGTGTGTGAAGGGGGATAGTGTGTGTCCAGCACTGGCCGGTCTGTGGCAGAAGTGAGGATTTCACGCTAGACTTGGAGTCAATGCCGTGTTACTAATCTGAGCGGCTTCAAAGGGTCTGGAAGGAGCCCACCGGCACCTCCTCCTCCCCCCTCGCTCCTCCGGCTCGGAAGTCTCCCCTCCTTTTTAGGCCTCCTCACACGTCGTCTAAACCCGACGAAGCTGACGTCCTCTCCCTCCTGGACTCGTCTCCTTATCCCCTCGGCTGTCCCATCTCCTCCTCTGTCCTCATCCAGAGTCCTGTTGAACATGTGGCTCCTGGTTTTGGAGCTCTTCTTCGATCAATGCAGCCCCCTCTCCTCCTCCTCCTCCTCCTGCTCCTCCTCCTGCTCCTCGCGCTCTTTCTTTCTTTCATTCATCGGTGTGTGAGCTGCTGACCCGTCTCTCTCTCTCTCTCTCTCTCTTCTAAAAACAGAACAAAGGAGGAGCGTCTCTGTTTCTGCGTCTGAGACTCATCTGTCCTGACAGCAGCGTTTGAAGTTCCTCTGAGAGTGTGTGTGTGTGTGTGTGTGTGTGTGTGTGTGTGAGTGTGTGTGTGAGTGTGTGTGTGTGTGTGTGTGTGTGTGTGTGTGTGTGTGTGTGTGTGTGTGTGTGTGTGTGTGTGTGAATTAGATAAACGCTCGCATGTTGACCTCTAAGAGTGTGTGTGTGTGTGTGTGTGTGTGTGTGTGTGTGTGTGAGTCATGCAGCACTCATCCAGTTACAAACTGAGTCCAGCTCCTGCTGTGTCTGTGTACGTGCACATAAACAACATGTTTGTGCACGTGTTTCCTCCATATTCCATCAATCAATAACCTGAGGGGGGGGGGGACTCACTGCTAATTATGTTTCATCACTTTTAGTAATTGGCTTTTTCACTGAGCCAATGATGAAGAGGAGGAGGAGGAGGAGGAGGAGGAGAGATGTGGAGGAGGAGGAGGAGAGATGGAGGAGGAGAGATGGAGGAGTAAAAAATGTGGAGGAAGAGGAGGAGGAAGAGGAGGAGGAGGAGGAGGAGGAGGAGGAGGAGGAGGAGGAGGAGGAGAGAGGAGGAGGAGGAGGAGGAGGAGGAGGAGGAGAGATGTGGAGGCGGGGCCGATCCATACATGACATCAGATTCAATGAATACATGAATCCTAATGTTCTTACTGACGGGCTCCTGGTGAAAGTCGGGGTCTGACCCCCCCAACAGAGAAATGAGCGCCGCCCTCCCGCTCTAACAGCCCCGCCCTCCCGCTCTAACAGCCCCGCCCCCCCGTGTGTTTTATTGACGTGTTTTTGGACATTTATATTCATGCAGCGATCGATCAATACCAGGAAGTTTAGAGACGGAGAGAACGACTGAAACGAGACAGACGAGGATTAGAGAAGGAAAGGAGGAGAGGAGACAAGGTAGGACAGAAGGATGAGGAGAGAGAGAGGAGAGAGGAGAGACAAGGGAGGAAAGAAGGAGGGATGAGTGTGTCAACATGAGGAGACAATCAAGGCAGTGAAGGAGGAGAGGAGACAGACGGAGGAGCTGATCCGACCTCCAACACCAGTGACACCAGTGATACCAGTCCTCTATCAGAACTCTGGACCGGTTCTGTTCGGTTCTGTTCTGTTGGTTGTCTGTTGTTCCTCTGGACTTCAGGAGGATCCGGCGTCTCTGTACGTGCAGAGATGGCGGTCCCTGATAGCGGTCTTCAGGCTCCTGAATGAGGAAGTCGTTAATCTTTAATGGTCGTTAACCATCTCTGGACGCCCTCCCCCCCCCCCTCGTGTTTGCGGTGGGCGGTCCCTCCTCTGTTTGTTTTGGCGTGACGGGACAATGACCGTCTGTGTGAGCGGGCAGCGGGCACAAAAGGCGTCATTGAGATCAGGGCACAGTGGCACAGAGAGCGGCTTCGCACCACGAGCCACCGGACGGCAGAAAGAGGACATTGACACCCCGCCCCCACCCCCACCCCCGATAAGAACAGTGGCGGCGCTGTGTCGGACTCTGGCGAAGTGACTCGATGTAAACGATCTGAAGGTTAAAGGACAGTGACACTGATTGGACGGCGTCAGGATCACACCTGACCCACGTGTGGCCCTACATTAGTACGACGCTCGTACTTTCAGCCCCGCCTCCTCCCAGCATGCACCTGCAGGCTCCAGCTTCAGGGTCTCCATCTCCTCTCCAGTGTTTGTAATATTGTCTGTTTTCTGTCTCCTCAGCTGGTCGTTCGGCGTGCTGATGTGGGAGATCTTCACCCTCGGGGGGTCTCCGTACCCCGGCATCCCTGTGGAGGAGCTCTTCAAGCTGCTGAAAGAGGGACACCGCATGGACAAGCCTGGAAACTGCACCAACGAGCTGTAAGAGACTTCCTGTCCTCTCAGACACCCACCCTCCATCAGGTCCCCGACTCTGTGGGGCCCCCGCACAGCTGGGACAGGCTGCTATCAGTGTCCTCATTCACAGGGAGTCTGAGGACAGAGGACGATAATAAGACACGTCTCTAAAAACAGGGACAGAGGAAGATAAAGGAGGTTTTCAGTCATTTAGACGAGAATAAAGATCTAATCGAGTCCCTTTGATGAGACAGACATGAAGAAGGACATGATGTTCTTCAGGTCTGAGACCTTCAGACCTGAGCGTGGTCCATCGATGACTCTTCCTTTGATTCCTCCTTTCCTCCTTTCCTATTTCCTCTGATCGTTGTTTTCTTCCTCTTTCAGGTACATGATGATGAAGGACTGCTGGCACGCCATCTCGTCCCAGAGACCCACCTTCAAGCAGCTCGTGGAGGATCTGGACCGGATCCTCACCCTCAGCACCAACGAGGTGAGAGCAGCTCTTTACGGACCTTTCAGGACTCGTGCTGCGACGTGGTTCTGGTCCACACTGGATCAGGATCTTGGTGCTGAAAGCTTTAGGAGCATTAGGAGCCACGTTTCTGACTCCAGGTCTAAATGGCGACTAAAAAAACGCCTGGATGATTCGATCCAGGCCCAACATGGCCGTCCAATCATCACGTCCGTACTCGCGGCCCCCCCGCCCCCCTGTCTCTGCTGATATCCGCACGCCGGCCTGAGAAGAGGCCGGCGATGGAAAGCTGTCAGGACCGGTTCTGCTGTGGAGCTGAAACTTTGAGAGTTTCTGCCAGAAAAGTTTGAACTTTTGAAACGTAATAAAGCTCCTTTTTTTTTTTCCTCCTCTCCTCCTCCTCCTCCTCCTCCTGCTCCTCCTCCTCCCTTTGCCCCAAACCGCTGGCAGATGTGGAGGTCTTTAGTAACGTGAGCCTTCTCGTGTTGAGCAGGAAAATGGAAGCCAGCGCTCATTTTCTTGAAAACCCCAGAGCTCTTCCTCCTCGCGGCTCGTCCCGAACACGGTCCTGAAAGACGAGCAGGAGGGGAAAAAAACGCTGCCATGAAACGGGCCGAAGAACTTCCCCGCACCGGGGCCCAGTCAGGAATTCATGAGAGGACCGCTGCGGGTTCTCAGCCTCCTCCATGACCCCGTTGTTTTTCCCGGTGTCGGGTTGTGCCAGCGTCTTTATTTTTTCCAGCCGTGTCTCGGTGTGGATGTGGACTGGGATCAGGTCTGACTGGAGGCTGTGGGGCCGCTCTTCTGACCCACTTATGTGCTCTAGACTCCAGATCAGGAACCTGCAGATCTGATCTTTAGTGTCGGTGAATGATTGGTCAGTGTTTTTTAAACAGGTCCAGCCTGTCATGAGGTCTGAGTCCAGACATGAGCTGATGAGCAGAAGAACCGAGTTTAACACCGAAACACTTTTATTTTCCTTCTGATAGAAAAAACTTTAACAACAAAAATTCACATGAAATCAAGTCGACAGACTCCGCCCTCAAACTGTCACAACAGGACTTTATCCTGATTCATTAATCCTGATTCATTAATCCTGATTCAGTAATCCTGATTTATTTAACCTGATTCATTAAACCTGATTCATTAATCCTGATTCATTTATCCAGATTCATTTATCCTGAATTATTAATCCTGATTCATGAATCCTGATTCATTAATCCTGAATTATTACTCATTAATCCTGATTCATTTATCCGGATTCAGTAATCCTGATTCATTTATCCTGAATTATTAATCCTGATTCATTTATCCTGATTCATTAATCCTGATTCAGTAATCCTGATTCATTAAACCTGATTCATTGATCCTGAATTATTACTCATTAATCCTGATTCATTTATCCGGATTCAGTAATCCTGATTCATTTATCCTGAATTATTAATCCTGATTCATTTATCCTGATTCATTTATCCTGATTCATTGATCCTGATTCATTAATCCTGATTCATTAATCTGGATTCATTAATCATTAATCCTGATTCATTTATCCGGATTCATTAATCCTGATTCATTTATCCTGATTCAGTAATCCTGATTCATTAAACCTGATTCATTGATCCTGATTCATTTATCCAGATTCAGTAATCCTGATTCATTTATCCTGAATTATTAATCATGATTCATTAATCCTGATTCATTTATCCTGATTCATTAAACCTGATTCATTAATCCTGATTCATTAATCCTGATTCATTTATCCGGATTCATTAAACCTGATTCAGTAATCCTGAATTATTAATCCTGATTCATTAATCCTGATTCATTCATCCTGATTCATTGATCCAGATTCATTGATCCTGAATGGCTCCGCCCCTCCCCTGGACTCAGTTAAACATGAACACATGAATTCATCATGTCTGCAGACTTAGTTTCTCTTCAGAATTACAAACCCTTTTTTTGTTGGACCCGGGTCATCCTGGTCCCGTGGCCCTGTTGGCGGTCCTGCCTTCAGTCCCGCCTTCAGCCCCGCCCTCTGCTGTTCCTGTCGGTATTTTCCGACAGTGAATCCGGTCTGAGGTGGTTTTCTTGACTCCTCTCTGAGGTTTAGATAAATATCCCATGAAGGTGATCCTCTCCTCGCCCTCCTCTGGAAAGTCCCTGTTCTTGTAGATTGTGTTTTCTCGTCCCGTCAGCTGATCCTGTTTGTGTGTGTGTGTGTGTGTGTGTGTCTCTGCAGGAGTACCTGGACCTGTGCGCCCCCACAGAGCAGTATTCTCCCAGCTTCCCCGACACCCGCAGCTCCTGCTCCTCGGGCGACGACTCCGTGTTTTCCCACGACCCGTTACCGGACGAGCCCTGCCTCCCCAAGTACCAGCACATCAACGGGAACGTCAAGACATGAGACCACACCCCCTTTTTCCCCCAAGAGCCGCCCCCAATCTCACCGGCACAGACCCCCATCTCTCCCAACACCTCCTCCCCCCACCTCGATCGGGTGCCTGCGGACTAACGGACCTGGAGGAGCGCTGCTGTCACACACTCTCACTGCCGTGCACACACACACACACACACACACACACACACACACACACACTCACACTCACCTGAGGTCTTAAAGGAGAGGACAGGGACCATGTTTGTACTGTATCAGCTCACATTCCTCCTCCTCCTCTTCATCGTCTCAGACTTCGGAGGTTTTCTTTTACAATCGACGACTTGTTCGGCGATCGATTCCCAGGATTCCAGGCGGTATGTCCGGACCTTTTTGGACTTTGGAAAAACGAGGAAAACGAGAATATAGGAAACAGACTGAGAGACAAACTTTGACTAACCAGCAGAGGAAGAGACGGAGAAACTTCTCTCCCTTTATTTTGTCATATTTATGCATTTCTTTTTTTTTTTTTTTTTTCACGCTCTTGATAAAAAAACTTCCCAAGTATCCTGGAGAAAATAAATCCACAGTATCATGTATAATAGTGCTGGGTATATTTGTAAATATATTCAAAAGTGTATAAATATATATTATATATTTACAATGAATTATTTTTTGTATGGAAATAACCCGGCCCCCTCTAAAGGCAGGTACGCTAACAGGTTGTGTCCGACATTTCTCTCTCTCTCTCTCTACACACACACACACACACACACACACACACACTTAAACACACACACACACACACACACACCTGTCTCACTCTCGCTCAGTAACACGATGAGTTTTGGCTTTCAGGGACCGAGGTAGCATGTTAATTTATTGACTTGTTGTTTTTTTAAGTGGATCACAGACGTCTGGAACAAAAAGGAACAAACTGACATTAATGATGCTGAATAAACAGAAATAATCCATGTAATAAATAATGTAAGGTAATTTAAAACGATCTCTCAGCTGTAACAGATAAAAAAAACTATTTTTAGAGGGTTTCTGGAAGGTCCAGGTTTTGTAAGTTTTCTATATGAATGTGAATATTAAGTTAAATTTTAAAAAGTGTACATTTGATAGTCGGCTAATCCCTTTCTTACCTAGATGTTGTTGCTGCCATTTTCCTATCCAGACCTTTGACTCGTTCTTCTCTCTGTCAGAGGAAACAAAGTCAGTTCTGGATATTTATATATGATGGACAGAAAAAGGAAAACTAGCCTCCACTCCCCGGTGTAGACTCTAGACTCCACATTGACTTGGACAGGATTGAAAGCTGAAAAACAAAGTATTAATAATCATTCAAGTGTTTCTTTTTTTTTTTGTCTTTTTCTACTGGACCAACTTTAAGATGTTTGTTGCAAATGTTCAAAACGCATTTGCAAAATAAATGATGAAAATAATCCTGTCGGCTCGGCTTGATTTTTTAGAGGGAAGATTTGGTGTTTAAGGTTTGTCAAAAGTTCTGATCGAGGAGCAGCCGAACAGAGATCAGAACCTCATGGCTCTGTAGGAGAGGAGTCCTGGACTGATGCGGTCTCTGTACTGGTTTTTGAAGACTGCTGATGGTTTCCAAAGGTTTTTCTCTCTGGTGGACTCAGAGTTGTAGACTCATAACTCATAAAGGCGGAGAAGGTCGAACTGTCAGTGTGTGTGTGTGTGTGTGTGTGTGTGTGTGTGTGTGTGTTTCCATCAGATCTACAAATAATTTAGAGAAACGGGTCAGAACCGCAGGAGCTCTGTGAGAGGCCGACAGTTCTCCAGGATCGTGGACCTTCAGTAGACCTGATAAAGAGGGCTTCATGTAGGACTGCAGGGTCAGTCTGATCAGGGTCGATCAGGAGGGTCAGAGGAATCTGCTCTTATCTTCCAGAGTCTCAATCAGACTGAACAGACGGTCTGTCAGATTAATGGACCTCTGATCACTCTGATTGATTTCTCCTCTCTCTTATCAGAACAGATATCATCGAACAGAGCAGTTCATGTCTCTGATTTGATTTGAGTTAATCTGAGTTGATTTATTAACCTCTGAGATTAAAACAGACGAGTAGACAGGGGTGTGCACGTCGTTTTCTAACCAGAAACAATCAGTTTTACCTGAATGTGGCGGACGATGACGCTGGAAGCCCTCCTCCTCTTTCTCCTCCTCTTTGTCCTCCTATCTATCTATCTATCTATCTATCTATCTATATGTGTGTGTGTGTGTGTGTGTGTGTATATGTATATAACTCTTTACGTGTCAAGATCCTTTTGTTGCACGCCTGAACTTGATCTGAATGCACACACACACACACACACACACACACACACACACACACACACACACACACACACACACACACACACTCCTCAGACGTGTCGCCTCATGCCTCCGGATCCTGTAAAGGATTGGAGGGAAAGTCAGTCTGAAAACATTCCTGTTTTCCATCGAATGAGGGAGCGAGGAGGAGGAGGAAATCAGCCCGGAGGATCAGGAGGGGGGATAGGAGAGAAAGAAAGAGTGACAGGATAAACCACAGAGACTTACACCCTCATTAAAGGGGGGAGAGACAGAGAGAGAGAGAGAGAGCGAAGGGGGAGGCCGGATATCCACGCTGCACTCTCCTATCAGAGTGGACCTCTATTGTATCTCAGCCTGACAGGGAGGGAGGGGGTTAAACTGCAGGAAGAGCACATACTGGATCAGTTTGTTCCCTCTGAGCTGTTTATGTCAGATTCATCTTTATGTTTCCTATTTCACCGTAAAACCCTTTAGGACTGATTTCTGTTTCAGCCATGAAGAGACCGATACCAGCTCCAGGATGGAAACAGAGAAACACTCACAGGCAGACCATAAAGGACTAAATCTGACCAAAGGAAGGTGATAACAGACTGTAAATACCAACAAACAGCTTCAGAGGGAGTCTGTGTGAAACTCTGCTTCATCAAGAAGGACTCAAGCTTCCTACTCTACACAGATGCTCCTGGTTCTTAGACTCGAGATCAACTTTCTGAGAGTTCAGACTAAATCTGGACAAAGTTTGAAGTTATTCAGACAGTTTTTAACCTGTGAGAGAGCTCCAACAGTGAGGACTGTACGAGGCAGAAAATCAGAGAAATACACGTGAAATAAACAATAAAAATCAAAGATCATGACACAACGTAAAACCAGGAGGAAGGACAGAGCTCACAGGGCAGAGGAGAAATTCAGCAGATTAATTTAGGAAAGATGAAGAGTATAATATGATAACAAAAATCATTGTAAAGGAAAAATAATGTCAAAGTATTAAAATGATAAAAATGTAAAATTTAATTGTGAAAAACAGTTTAAAAGACCATATTTGAACATGAAAAATGTCATAGTATAGTATGATAAAAATGTCATAGTATAGTATGATAATCAATGTCATAGTATAGTATTGTAAAAAATATCATTGTATAGTATGTTAAAAATTTCATATTTAAGTACGATAAAAAAGTCAAAGTATAGTATGTTAAAAATTTCATAGTATACTATGTTAAAAATTTCATAGTATACTATGTTAAAAATGTCATAGTATAGTATGATAAAAAAGTCATAGGTTAGTATGATAAAAATTTTGAATTTTAGTATGAATTTTTTTTCACATTTCAGTGTGAAAAAATATTATAGTATACTATGATAAAATTTCATTTTTTAGTATGAAATCTTTTTAAATGTTTTAGTGTGAAAAAACATGGTAAAGTCTGATATTGATTTTGTATTATAGTATGTTAAGAATTCCTCATTTTAATTATAAAAAAGTTGTATTTAGTATGAAAAAAAAGTATCAAATTTCTTACAAAAGTATGATAAAATATATCACTGTTATATTATTGTAAAATGAAAATATCATAGTTTAGTATGATAAAAATATTATAGCATATTTTGATGAAACTGTCAGTTTATTAAGTAAGATAAAATTGTCACAGTACAATAAAAAGATCATGGTAAATAAAATAAAGTCAGTACATTGAAAAAAAACCACATCATAGTATCAAGAAAACTGTTTAGTATAATAAAATATCCTAGTAATGTATGAAAACAACATCACAGTATAGTATGATCAAATATCATAATAAAGTATGAAAACTATCACAAAATGGAGTGATAAAAAATACCATAGTATAGTATGTTTAAAAAATCATAGATCAGTACGATAAATATATTACCGTAAACTACAATAAAATGTCATAGTATAGTATGATTAAATCAAAGTATCATTAAAATATCATAGTATATTAAGATGAAAATATCATTGCATAATATAATAAATACATTCTTTTACAGTTTTTACATTTTTTAACAGTTTTTACAATTTTCCAGTTTTTTTTTTTTTTCCGTTTTAAAATTTTTTACAATTTGCACACTTCATTTTTTTTGACAGTTTTTACAGTTTTAACCGTTTTTACAGTTTTATTTTTACACATCAGTTTCTCACTAGTTTGTGAAAACTCTGTTTCTCCTTACTGGCGTCTTGGAGACTCATCCAGCAGGAAACTGATAAACACGACCCACCGCGCTCAGTCACAGCCTGAAATGAGTTTTTCATTTGGAGGGCTTTTGCTCCATGGTTCTTAATGCCCTGAAGATTAACCCACTGACCCTCAAATATTAGCTCTGAAAGAGTTCAGGGGGGCGGGGACAAAGCTCCAGGACCTGAGGACACTTTAAAGACCTGTGAGCGAAAGGACAAACGTTCAGTTTGAAGTTCATGTCACTGAGTCCATGAGTCCAAACTCTGAGACCCTCTGCTGGTGTGACGGGCTGAAGGATCCGGAGGGTATCTTGACATTTTGGTGTCTAAAGTGATGTTCCTCCTGGTTTGTGGTTCCTTCCTGTCCCTCCTCCTCCTCCTCCTCGTCTGTGTCCTTCGCCCTCGCCCCGTCCTCCCTCGCCCGGCCATCTGGTGGGCCTGGTGTGTTTGCACAAGGCTCGGTCCTCTGGAATGTCAACAGCAGGCTTTGTGTGAAGCTGGAGGAGCCCACGTTCACTGGAGATAAGAGCCCACCAGCCTGAGCCGGGGGGTGGGGTGGGGGGTGACATAAAGTTTAACAAAGCTGCCAAGTGACCGCTTTAATCCTGAACATCACCCCCCCCTAAACTCTGAGACTCTGAATACTAAACTGAAGATCAGCTCATGTTTGGAGACTCTGAAATGATCCTGAAATACAAACGACCACAACCATGAAGATTCAATCATCGTCTTCTCGCCGTCAGCCATGTTGGCTGCTTCACTTCCATCTACTCTCTAAACTCGTGTCCATCCTTCCCTCACCAGCGTCGTCTCTCTGCGTCCCTTCAAGGAGAGGAGAGAGGAGAGAGTGAACATGAGACATGAGACATCCCTTATGATAATGATGACAACAGCTGATCAGCTCCGGATCAGCTGATCATCAGCTGATCATCAGCTCCTGTGTTTAGTTACCTGTTCACCAAACACCTGCAGTCTGTTTCTGTGTTCAGAACCTGGAGGATCCTCTCACAGCAGAAACACGTCATTATAGAGATTCTTCATATTCATATTTACGTGTTTTTTCTGCCTGTTTGGAGCTGAACTCTGTTTGTTATTAACACACACTGAGTTATTATTGTCTGTAAAGTTTTTTATCAGAGGTTGAAGTTAAACGATCAGATACCAAACTCAGAGACCATCACAGATTCACAGATTTAATGAATATTTTATTCAGTGCTCATTATTACTCTGAGATTTGGGGCCGTTATTCTCCAAACATACAAACTTCTGTCTCAAATATGAACTTTGATTTGATCAAGTCAGGACTTAGTAAATACTGCACTTACAGTGTTACTGCTTCAGTATTACATATATGTTATTACCCTGTAATTACCCTGTAATTACCCTGTTATTACCCTGTTATTACCCTGTTATTACCCTGTTATTATCCTGTTATTACCCCGTTATTACCCTGTTATTACCCTGTAATTACCCTGTTATTACCCTGTTATTACCCTGTAATTACCCTGTTATTACCCTGTAATTACCCTGTTATTACCCTGTTATTACCCTGTAATTACCCTGTTATTACCTTGTTATTACCCCGTTATTACCCTGTTATTACCCTGTAATTACCCTGTAATTACCCTGTAATTACCCTGTTATTACCCCGTTATTACCCTGTTATTACCCTGTTATTACCCTGTTATTACCCTGTTATTATCATGCTGTCATGTCGGGTACAAACGGATACAAAAGTCTTATTCCTGCATTAAACTCCCTGATCTTCCTTCAGGTCCTGCATGTGGAGCAGATACTCCAGCAAACATTACACCACAGATCGATGGGCTCAGAGCGTGTGTGTGTGTGTGTGTGTGTGTGTGTGTGTGTGTCTGTGTGTGTGTGTGTGAAGCTGCCGTTTGCACCGAGCAGCAGATAATGAACGGTTCATCGCCAGGTCAGCGCTCATGAGAGGGAGGGGGGTACATGTGTTTGATTAGGAGCTTGTAAGGCTCCATGTCTGGTTCTGCATGGATGGATAAACAAGTCCAGAGTGTGTGTGTGTGTGTGCGTGTGTGTGTGTGTATGTATGTGTGTGTGCGTGCGTGCGCTCACTGCCTCCCTCCTCTTCACAGCCTCTCTTGCAGGTACGGGCTCAGAGGAGTGAGCGGCCTGTCTCAGAGTTTAGTTGGACTTTAGTTCGGGTTCGACTCTCTCACACACACACACACACACACACACACACACACACACACACACACACACACACACACACACCTGCAGGGCGTAGATCTACCTCACACAGATTCCTCTCTAATAACCTCTAAACACTCTCAGTGTGTGTTTTTATGCTAACGTGTCTGACCGCTCTGGGCGTGCTCTGTGAACGAGCTGAGTCATAACCTCCCCTGCCCACTTGTGCCAATCACAACACCCCTCCTCCCCCTTTCTCTCCCCCCCGGACAGTTTTATTCCCCCCGGTCTTGTCTCACACTGATGATGTCAGCGCCAACACCAGAAGCCATAAACCCTGACGCACGCTGCAGACGTCCTGCCAAGGCGTCAAACATGGCTTTTCCGACGACAAAGAGTTTCTTCTTTGGAGTCTCTGAACAAACCGAATGTTTGATGGAGCAGAACTTTGTTGGACTCTGACCCGGGAGGGGTTTGGTTTGAAAGGAAACCAACTTCAGAGAGTTCACAGAGTTCAGGGATTGGTCGAAAAAGCAGAACAGGTCAAAGAGTCCCGCCCCCAGTCTCTATTTCCCTGTACTGAATGTGGCGCCGTCTTATTTCTGAGGTGAAGTCGTCGAACCCTCTGGAGCTGATGCTGTCTGACCCCCGACCTCCACCTTCATCCTGATCGTCTCCTAAAAGGTCGTATCCTCCGATCGTAGCTGATCGTAACCATTCAAGTTAACGTGTCAATTTACACCGACTTCTTTCCGTTCCTCTGCGGATCGCCGGACTCCTCAGCTGATCACAAGAGTTCTATTTTTTCTGGACGCCGGAGCATGGCGGATAAATTCAGCACAGATTAACCCGTGCTGGAAAGGAAGTCGGGGACAGACACAAAATAAAACATCCGGCTTCTTTTCAAAATAAAACACGAACGACGAACAAGTGAAAGGTTTTTAGACGTCATTTCACCCCGATGACACCATGGATGAGGAGATGCTGATTCTAGAAGTCTAGAAGTAGATTTCCTCCTCTGGAAGGACACAATCTACTGCTTATATGTCTATGTGTCTGTCTTTAGAGAGACGACTCGTTATCGTGAGATTAAACGTGAATCTGCAGGTTCTTGAGAGTTCTCCTGATTCCTGATGTCTGTAATCCGCCTCACAAACAGATCATGTAGGAATTGGTGGACGACTGAAGACGGTCTGTAGCTCCAGTCTGTGTGTGTGTGTGTGTGTGTGTGTGTCTGAGTGGATGAAGATTTATGTTCATGTACACACAGGACAGTAAAACACTCCAGCAGTGTGACTGTGAGGAGTAAACACAGAGCAGGCTGTAAAAAAAGAGAGAGAGCCCATAAAGATGTTTAATTGAAACTGTGCGCACACACACACACACACACACACACGCACACACAGAAAACAGAGGTAGGACAGGAGGTTCGGTCTGTTCTGGTTTTAAAAAGTTAAACTGTCTGATTTCAAACTCTGATATTATTAATATTATTATAATATTATTAATATTATTAATATTATTATAATATTATAATAATATTATAATAATATTATTATAATATTATTATAATATTATTAATATTATTATAATATATTTAATATTTTTCAGTCGGATCAATATTTTATATTTAAAAAAACAACCCTCTCCTAAAACGCCTCGACCTTTGGGTGATTTAGAGTTTCCTAAGAGTCTGAGAAGAGCGTGACGGAAGGTCCCGCCCTCCTTCGACCCTGATTGGCTGTAAGTGCTGACTGTTCGGCTTGAGTGTGTGATGATGTTTCCATCTTTTCTAGCCAATCAGAGGCGAAGGAGGCGGGACTTTCCCCGGGTAAAGTCTTCCCAGGGACGCGTCTTTTTCCCTCCAGAAAGTCGTAAAATCACATCAGACTTGATGTCTTTAGTCAGGAGCGTCAAAATTCCTCTCTGAATATTTCATAATTTGGCGTTCTATCTCCGCGTCGGCCCCGGTGTGTGAGGACCCGGAGTACGATCGGACAACACATGTGTGCGTGTGCCACGCCCCCGTAATCCCCAGAGTAGAGGAGTAGCGTTGGTCTCCTCTTTAGAAAAAGTAGCGCGTCCATCATGGCTGTACGATGCTCCATCTTCTCGGCTTGTTCAAAGTTTTGGGACCTGAAAAACAGACTCTGGAGTGGAAATCAGCGCATGGAGAGACAACTGGACTTACTGGAGACATTACGCCTACAATGATACGTCTCCAGTAAGTCCAGTTGTCCTTTCAACGAAGAACTAGAAATCATAGATGCTGCATCCTCAGTTTATAGAGAGTAGATGTCCACTCAGCTTGTTCTCAGCTCCCAGTCCAGATCCAGCATCCCTGGTGGTCTGAGGATCATCAGAGTCTCTAAAATCACTCAATTCAACTTTCAAACTTCATCCATTCATCCTCAGCTGCACACGTTGGCGCCTACCTTTGTCCGGTGGACTGTTTTCACAATCTTAGTGATAAATGATCACCATGACAACAGCGTGATGACAGACGGGGGATATAAATCAGCGCAGGACTCTACCCCCCCCCCCTTTCACCTGCATCAGTCTTTCCAGCGAACAACGGCCCCTCTGTGTGCCGGCGGCTCCTTCCCCTCATTCGTCAGTTTCAGGGTTTGTTGGTTCTTTCTCCGCCGCTGTTTGCGTCTCTCCTCTGACGTGAAAAGCTGGAGTGATTGTGTGCTGCTGAAAGTTCGGAGTTAGGTAAGAGGAAAACTTCTCTTTTTTTTCCCTGTACAGTCAGGAGGTCATTAAATAAAAGTGTGCGGTGAGTGACGGGCCTCTATACCTGCCTCTCTGCTCAGAAAGAACAAGAGCGTCTCAGTCCTGTTCAGACAGGACCGATAATTAGAGCTCCGACTTAATCACTTACCTCAAAGCCTTCACTCCTGCACAATACTCCTCTCTGCACCTCTCCTCTTTTCAGGTTTGCCGCCACCTGCCAACAGACAAGTGTTGCAACATGACGGATCGTTGCTTTTTTTCGCTCAGAGACAATGCTGGGTGTGGGGAGCGCTGCGGTGGAGGCGGTTCAAACAGGCGAGCAGTTCACCGTGTGCTGCAGGCTCAGACTCTCAGAGAGCTCAGGGTTCACTCGCAGGTGAGAATCCATCTCCTCCAGGCCTGACACGTCCATCCATTTCTCCTCGCACAGACACTCCGAGTTCAACCTGCTGCTGAAAATCCAACTCTGAGTCCTCGATCAATACAGAGCTGATCAATAATGCAGACATGTTTCTGAGAGCTGTCCTCCAACACTTCTCCAAGTCTGAAGCTTTCCTCGCTGTCTCAGTTAGAAACCGTGGACTGTAAGAGTGGGTGTGGCCAAGTTTGTCAGCTGACCTTTTTATTGACGTCATGTGGTTTAACTGTCGCCATGTTGGTTAAAACTGAAGATGCAGCATCTATGATTTCCAGTTCTTCGTTGAAAGGACATCTGGACTAAGTTGAGACGTGTTCGATTTTGATCCCTCAGACCTCAGGAGAGTTCGTGGACAAGTGATATTAAAGTCATGGTTAACGATTGTAGAGATCGGTAATTATCATGAACCTCGTTTCCATGGCGATCATGGTCCTTTAGTGCGATCTCCACAAAGTGAAGAGAAAAAAGATCTGAAAAAATCTGTTCGTCCTATCAGGTGCAGGGCTGCAAAAACATCGACCAATGGGAGCCATCCATCCCGGACGGCTCCTATTGGTCAATCTCCTGCTCCGCCTCTCCATCCAATCACCTCGCTGTATTTCACACACCCCTCTCCCGTAGTTCCGACTCGTCCCCTCCCACTCTCACGGCCCTCCTCGGAGCTCTGAGCGGCTAACAGTAGCGTAGCAGCTTAGCTACAGGAGCTGTGATGGAGAAGGACGCAAAAAAAAACACTTCTGTTTGACGAAAACGCAAACGCCGATAGAAGAAAGGGCGGAGTCAAAGAGGACACGTGACCAAGCGAGGAATCTAACGTGGATAACCATCGGGTCATCCTTGGAGCGGTGAAGAAAGCTCCGCCCTCAGGTCATTTTTATCTCCTTTTATCTCATGTTACATAAATAACTCTGATTAGTCTCTGACATGTCAACACGGTAGCTGTCCAGGCAGCTGCAGACGGCGCTCGCTGTCAGAGCTGGCGTTTACCGCCGCTGGTCACTAACAATCCGACATGGTGAGTCCCATAGACATTATATATGTAGATGCCTCATTACATGCTGGGGTGTAATCCAGAGTCCTGTCTGTTTTTAACACCCTGAAGATCTGGACCATCCAGTCCTGGTCCTGGTTCTGGTCCCTTCTCCAGATCTTCTCTAACGTTGATTTTAAACTCAGTAAACATGTTTATTTCTGCATGTCGATTGTCCTACAGCCTCTAGTGGACGCTCTGTGAACTGCAGTTTTGCCTCTGCAGTCTTCGCTCCTGTTTGTTGGGAACATATGAATCCATAAGTTGAACCTCAGCCCGTGAATTCACTCCCTGCATGAGGTGGCGGCCCCCCGACCGACCGAGCCGTGAGAGGAGAGAGAGCCCCTGAAAAGGTGCTTTGTGCTGGTTCAGACGGGCCTGAGGCTTCAGCCTGTCAGAGGCTGTGGTTGTAGGCTGTTAGCCAGGCCTTCAGACCCTCTCTGGCAGGGACCGAACCACCATCTGGAGCGGCGGGCCCCTTCCTGAGCTGCTCCGTGAGCTTCAGAGAGCCAGGCTGGGCTGTAATGCACCACAGAGGGCTGCAAAAATAAACCATCAGTGCGGCGCTGAAATCCTCTGGCTCCACAGATCCGACTCTGAGGACGGTTCCCTGGAGAGCGGCCGGACCTCCTCACACTGAGGAGGACACGACCAGAACTCCTCTGGAAACGCTCCTCTAAAAGTGATCTGAGTCAGACGGAGATCATCGTGAGGTTTGAACTCATCTCTGAAGAACATGAGAGCGAACGCTGAGATGAGGATTGATGATGTTTACGGAGCTTCAGGGATTGATGGACACGCTCCACGCTGCTGCAAACACGGAGGTGAAGGTGCAGAGACCGGCTCTGTTTACCTTCATCTGATGGAGGAGTGGGTCCAGCAGCCCCACTCTGCTCTGCTCTGTGGACTTCATATACACTGTGGATTTTAATGCCACATTTCAGCCACACTGCTCCACATGAGATGAAATCAAAGTTTTCCCTTTCAGCCGGAGAGCCAGATAATTCATGCTACATTTAGTCCGAGGGGGAGAAATGTGAACCACATTGAGCGGGGTGTTTTAGTGGGGCAGCTCTCTCTTTGGTCCTCCCTCCCCTCCCCCAAACTCCCGCTTCAGAGCTGAATTCCTCTCCCCTCCTGGAGTCCGCCCAAACCAAGCAAATTATGGAGCAAAATCTTTTTATATGAACCTCTGTCACGCAAAAACGAGGCTAAGCCCCGTCCGAAGCCCTCCCCCTGCTGGAATGAGCTCCGCTTTATCCCGCTCCTCTGAGCGAGGCCGTCACCGCCGATCCTGGAGGCTTTCATAATCGAAACAGAGAGAGAGAGAGAAAACAAAGGAAGGAGCTGAAGTCCTGCAGAGACCACTTCAGAGGGTTCAGAGCAAAACAGAAAACAAGTCTTCACATGGAAGGACCTGATTCATGACAGATCCACAGATATATGTCCTAAAATCATCTGAGAGGGACGAACAACCGACGACTCTGAGGGGTTCAGCCTCAGTGTGAGGACGGCAGCATGGAGAAGACACTGCATATATACACACACAAATACACATACACATACATACACACACACACATACACATAAATACACACACACACACATACACATACACACACATAAATACACACACACACACACACACATAAATACACACACACACATAAATACACACACACACACACACACACACACACACACACACATACACACATAAATACACACACACACACATACACACACACATAAATACACACACACACACACACACACATACACACATAAATACACACACACACACACATACACACACACATAAATACACACACACACACACACACACACATACACACATACACACATACACACACACACACACACACACATACATACACACACACACACACACACACACATACACACATACACACACACACACATAAATACACACACACACACACACACACACACATACACACATACACACACACACACATAAGTACACACACACACACACACACACACACACACACACACAAATACACACACACACACACACACACACACATAAATACACACACACACACACACACACATAAATACACACACACACACACACACACATAAATACACACACACACACACACACACACACACACACATACACACACACACACATAAGTACACACACACACACACACACACACACACACACATAAATACACACACACACACACACACACACACATAAATACACACACACACACACACACACACACATAAATACACACACACACACACACACATAAATACACACACACATACACACACACACACACACACACACACATACACACATACACACACACACACATAAATACACACACACATACACACACACACACACACACACACACACATAAATACACACACACACACACATACACACACATAAATACACACACACATAAATACACACACACACACATACATACACACACACACACACACACACACATATGAAAGTGAAGATGAAATAATCCAGCAGAATAAACTTCTCCTCATTTTAAACGTCGTTTCTGCAGAGAAATCAACATCTGAGCTTTTTCTTCCTTTATGGATCCATCAGTTCAGCTCTCAGATAACAAAGACGCTGATGAGGAAGAGGAAGATGAAGAGGACGAGGAAGAGGACGAGGAAGAGGACGATGAGAACTGGAGTCAGGAGGAGAGGACTGACAGGTCAACCCCAATTTTCGCCAAATCTGGAACGGCAGAAATTTTCCACCATCCACAAATTCTTACCAGATCAGTTTGTGAGGCGAATTTCGTGGTGGATTACGGATCACAAGAACTCACAAGAACCCGCAGATTCACGTTCAATCTCACGATAACGAGTTGTCTCTCTAAAGACAGACACATAGACATATAAGCAGTAGATTGTGTCCTTCCAGAGGAGGAAATCTACTTCTAGACTAGACAGAAAGAAGTCGGTGTAAATTGACACGTTAACTTGAATGGTTACGATCAGAAAAGATCGGAGGATACGACCTTTTAGGAGACGATCAGGATGAAGGTGGAGATCGGGGGTCAGTCTGTCCCTCTGCTTTTCAGACACTAACGTACACAAACCTCCTCCTCCTCCTCCTCCTCCTCCTCTCCTCCTCCTCCTCCTCCTCCTCTCTATAGGAGGCTAAACTGAGTTTCAGGTTGATTTAAAAACCTGGTTTGCCCCCCCCCCAGTGTGAAGCTCTTAGGCTCCGCCCCCTCTCAGCGGCGGTCTCTTGTTTACAGCCGTGTTAAGTGCGAGCCCCTCCAGGATCAGTGGGAGCTGTAATCCCCTCTTCAGTCCCTCTGAGGCCCTCACGGCCTGTAAGTGGACATGGGTGATGGCAGACGAGGACCGGCCCTGCAGCCCACCAAACCAGCCGCACACACACACACACACACACACACACACACACACACACACACACACACACACACTGGGTCGCTCTTTTTTCCTGGATATGACTCCGTCTCTCCTCCTCTCTGCGTTTTTATGTCATGTCACCTTGTAAAAAGGCTTTATGGTCTTCCCAGGCCTCATGGCTCTGGGCGTGCAGAGGTGCATTGTGGGAGCTTAAGAAGTCCTCCAGGAGCGGCACTTAGAGCGAGTGACAGGAGAGCGTCTGCAGAGAGCTGCTTTGAGTGTCATGGATCAGTTTTACCGGGTCCTCCTCTAGAACTCTGAAATCCTGGATCAGAGCTGAAGGTTCATGTTTGAAGTCCCTCAGTCCTGATGGTTTGGACTTTCACACAGGAGGTTCAAACTCAGCCCACAGAGAACCAGGACCCTGAACATGATCCTCACTTTGTGCTGCAGACGGTCTGAAGTCCAAGAAGACAGACGGTCAGTTCAGCTCGTCTTCATCTTTAAAGATCTACCCCCGATCTCCACCTTCATCCTGATCGTCTCCTAAAAGGTCGTATCCTCCGATCGTAGCTGATCGTAACCATTCAAGTTAACGTGTCAATTTACACCGACTTCTTTCCGTTCCTCTGCGGATCGCCGGACTCCTCAGCTGATCACAAGAGTTCTATTTTTTCTGGACGCCGGAGCATGGCGGATAAATTCAGCACAGATTAACCCGTGCTGGAAAGGAAGTCGGGCACAGACACAGAATAAAACATCCGGCTTCTTTTCAAAATAAAACACAAACGACGAACAAGTGAAAGGTTTTTAGACGTCATTTCACCCTGATGACACCATGGATGAGGAGATGCTGATTCTAGAAGTCTAGAAGTAGATTTCCTCCTCTGGAAGGACACAATCTACTGCTTATATGTCTATGTGTCTGT